TCACACACAATACATTTCTATTTTCAAGAGTTGCTTGATTTATTCTAAGTTGTTACTGCTATGAACTAGTGTTTTTATAAGTATAGTGTTTTTATATTTAGTCTTCTTTTTTTTGTATTTCACATTTTGAGATTACCAATGTAGTGACATAGTTTTGTAATATGTAATATCTTGTATAGTAAATAAACTTTACATGTTTTTAGGTCTTTAAATAATATGAATATTGTGTGATTGTTTTTGTGTTAAATGTAAAGGAAATGTATTGTGTGTATCTTTACATTCAACAGTCACACACAATACATTTCTATCTTTACATTCAGTCACACACAATACATTTCTATCTTTACATTCAACACAAAAACAATCACACAATACATTTCTATCTTTACATTCAACACAAAAACAATCACACAATACATTTCTATCTTTACATTCAATAGTCACACACAATACATTTCTATCTTTACATTCAACACAAAAACAATCACACAATACATTTCTATCTTTACATTCAACAGTCACACACAATACATTTCTATCTTTACATTTAACACAAAAACAATCACACAATATTCATATTATTTAAAGACCTAAAAACATGTCCAGTTTATTTACTATACAAGATATTACATATTACAAAACTATGTCACTACATTGGTAATCTCAAAATGTGAAATACAAAAAAAAAGAAGACTAAATATAAAAAACACTATACTTATAAAAACACTAGTTCATAGCAGTAACAACTTGAATAAATCAAGCAACTCTTGAATTTATTAACACTTACCTTGAGACTTCCTTGAAAGTTGTTGCTGCATCTGTGTCATCTCACCAGGAGTCAGAGTCTCTGGACGCAGGAAGTTCAGGACTTGTGACACATTCTGTCCAAGATTTACACTGAACAAATATAAAAAGCATGCAGTAATTAAGTATCACCTATAAAAACAAGTACTTATCTGGAACAAAACCTACATAAAACGTTTTGTTATAACTGTAAAACCTAGTTATATAACTACCTGTAACCTAGTTATATAACTACCTATTTTAACTAGAAGTCAGTTACTTAAGTCATCATGTACATCCTCAAATGGAAGTGAAATGTGTTTTTATCAGTTGCTTAAGTTAGGTCCTCATGTATGTCCTCAAGTGGAAGTGAGAAGTGTTTTTATCAGTTGCTTAAGTTGGGTCATCATGTATATCCTCAAGTGGAAGTGAGATGTGTTTTTATCAGTTACTTAAGTTGGGTCATCATGTATATCCTCAAGTGGAAGTGAGATGTGTTTTTATCAGTTACTTAAGTTGGGTCATCATGTATATCCTCAAGTGGA